ATTTTCTATAATAATTGTGATCTTGTGGATGGGCACATGATAGGAACTGATATTTACCAGCTTGTAGAAATCCAGCACAGAACAGAAATAAAGTCATAAACTGTGGGTATAACTTTAATCTCTGCTCAAGTGGAATCCCTGGATATTTTGGCGATGGCTTGGAGAACACTCCAGGGACAAGTAATATGAACAGACATACCTTTGGTCATGCTGTGAACATGGAAAATAAGTTTGCATCCACAATCATAAAAAATATTTCAACCCAACAGCTGCCATGGCCCCTGGGGTTCCTCTAGGAAAAAATGACCAACAGTTGGCTACATGCTATTAGCTGACAATACAACCTGTTTTAACATGGGCTGATTCCACTCCTGTAAAGAAGTTCATGAGGTAGCGTGGAGAAAATCTTCAGGATTCCCATGAAAACTGGGCAAGGAAAGATCATCCCAATGATCATGTGCACACATGCCAATTGGTTATATTCCAATAATTAATATTCACATTGAAAACTAGAGGGTTCAGCAGAAACCATGAGTGGTGGTCTACCAACTCCGTGGAAAATATAAAGCAAAATATCTGACAAATTCTGATGAGACTCACTGCAAGAGGAATCTTCCAAACGACTGAGCAGAAACTACACAGGCTTGCATGGCTGAAGTGGGAGAGAAAAAGCATTAGATGCCGTGAACATAACATTGCCAAATAAGGTATTTTTACCTACGACCTTGAATAAGGTTGGATACATGAAGACATCCAAACTCGCTCAGGTTTATTCATGAAAATCGTGAGTTCACACATAGTCTAAATAAACTATGAAAAACAACAGCGTAACCATTTGTCAGCAAAGTCCCTGTCTGGTTTGGCTCTGTGGACTGGAGAGTCCAGGGTTCGGTTCCTGCTAAGCGCATGTACCTTGGTTGTGGACTGTCCCCAGCCCAGGTTGAGGTTGTGGGGGTGGCAACCCTATCCCATTGATGTTTCCCTCTCTCTCTCTTCCTTCTTATCTATCTGAAGATAAATGTAAATATGTCCTCAGTGAGGATTAAAAAAAAACAAACAAACCTGTGACCTCAATGGCTCCATGGCTGCTTCAGCATCTACAGTCAATTGCACAAGCTGATCACAGGAAGTGATGGGCGGGGTCAGAGCCTAAGCTCAGGACTAATGGATAGGGGTGGGATCTGGACCAGTGGCCAGGGCTTTGCAGAGACCTGACTGGAGAGAAGAGGCTGCAGACTGGGCACAGTACAGGCTCCCTCCACTTCACTGTCATGGGTGATGGCCTTTCCTTATTAAGTGCATTTGTGTTACCCACGTGATCACTTCTAAATTTGTAACATTGCTTTCCAAAATTAATAATACGTAGGCAGCCCTGGCCGGTTTGGCTCAGCGGTTGGAGCATCGGCCTGCGGTACAGAGAGACCCGGGTTCGTTTCCCACTAAGGGCACATACCTCGGTTGCAGTTTCTCCCCGGCCTGGGTTGGTCGGGTGGGTGGCAGCCATTCAATGTGTCCCTTCGCATCGATGTTTCTCTCTCTCTCTCTTCCTCTCTCTCCCTCCCGCTCTATCTGAACAAAAAGAAAAATGAAAAGAAAAAAAAAATAATATGTAGACATTGCATGGATTTAGTTTCCTGTATTTGTCACAAACATATCTTTAATGTTATATTTTTAAATGATTTTTTTTCGCTTTACTGATTTTAGAGGTAGAAGGAGGGATGGAAACATCCATGAGAAAGAACATTGATTGGCCATCTCCCGCATACCCCCAACCCCCAGCTGGGTATTTGGCCCAAAACCTCCCCATATGCCCTAACCAGGAATCAAACCAGCAACTGCTTGGTGCATGGGTCAATACTCAATCACTGAGCCACACAGGACTGGCTAACATTATGTCTTTAAAATTTCTCTCAGATGGCCCACCAAGTGTGGCAAGTGTAACTCACTGGAATGAGCAGCATCCCATTGACTGAGAGGTCTTGGTTTGAATCCAAGTCAGGGCACATGCCTGAGTGCAGGATTGATCCCCAGGATGCGTGCAGGAGGTAGATGATTGATGTTTCTGTCACATTGATGTTTCTGTCTCTCTCTCTCACTGTCTACAATTCAAGAAAAATATATTTCTTTAAAAAAGAGTTATATTAGATATACCTTTACTGCTGTTTGTAATGTTTAACTCTCAGTTAAATATATTGCCCAACTCACCATATTTTAATATCTTCCTGCCAACATAACATTCAAACCTACAGAAAATTTTTCTGAGTTTATCTGAACCAAATTGGGGACAATTGCTAGGAAGCAAAATTTTAAGGAATTGAGATAATGTTCCAGAGAATGACAGCTTTGCACCTTTTTTATGTAATTAGAAGAAAAAGCACAACGGGACTGTATGAAATACACTGGTAATAAATTAGGGCAGGAGAAAGCAAAGAGGATAATGCTGTAGAATTGGATTAACAATAAAATGATAGGTACACACGTCTTTTATATAAATGGGTACAGGATAGTTAACAGTTAATCCACATAATGACAATGAGAAGATTTATGAAGTCCCCAATTGTATTGGTTCTACCAGGTGGTCATTATGCAATGAGGGGTTTGGAAAAGGGGCACTACCCTGACATTCCACTTCAAGGTTATCTTAGATGCAAAAGCCAGTAAAAATACTTAGTTACGGTAAAGATTGACTGTTGTCCTGGAAGATTGTAGTACAGGAAGTGACTACTTACCATAAACTGACTTTGCTGAAAAGTGTTTAGCTTGGATAGATAATGAGGTTCCACTGTGCAAGGGAGGCTCACTTCTATGAAGTCTCAGTGTTAGTATTTGTCTTGCCTACTAATGGGCCATGGGGGATGGGTCAGGACTGTAACCTCAGATGAAAGTTAAATCCAATTTTTTCTAAAGTGAAAAGTAGGTAAATGTGAGGCAAACAGGTCTTATGAGTCTCTATTAAGAAACACTGGATTACTTTTAATGTATAGGTTATTATGATTCAGGTTTTGTCATTTTGTATTTTGTATTTAGTATAGTGTTTACTTATGCTTGAGGGAATAATATACATCATCTTCAGGAATAGTTGAGAAAAATAAATATAGATATCTATCTATCTATAGACTAAGAAACACCTAAAGTACCAGTATATATTATCATTACTACTGTTATCAGTAACATTAATTTGCAGGTATAGATGACATGTCATTCTCTCAGGATAACTAATTTTTTTTTTTACCCTCACGCAGGACATTTTTTGATATTTTTGTTCAGATAGAGTAGGAGGGAGAGAGAGAGAGAAATATCGACGTGAAAGAGACACATCGAGTGGTTGCCACCCACACAACCCAACCAGGGCTGGGGACAAACCGCAACCGCGGGACGTGCCCTTAACGGGAACCGAACCCGGGTCTCTCTGGACCGCAGGCCGACGCTCTAACCGCTGAGCCAAACCGGCCAGGGCAGGATAACTAAGTTTGATGTACGGGATTTTCATCTTTGAAAAGGTTTTTATTTCTCCTGTAGATGGAGGCGAGTGTCAGAGAGAAGGGGGAGATGTCCATTCGTGGTTAGGCACCTGATAAGGTCCCTGTTAAGTTTTAGCCAGAGAAGGGGGCTTGAGAAAGTACTCAAAAAAAAGAAGAGAGAGAGAAAAGGCATAAGTTTATTACTTTCCCTAAATTCAGGGAAAGGACCCATGAACTGACTGGCAATACAAGGGCAGGAAACAAAGAGTACGTTGCTCTTTTATTGGGGTTTGAGGGAGTAAACAAATATTTGGGTCAGGGAAGGGGCGATGTTGAAGGTGAACAGATGTGGAAGGAGGGTTGCCTTGAGCATTCGCAGTATGTATGTTTTCGAGGAAATAGGCAGATGTACCAGAAACGGGTATTTATCAGTATCTTAATTTTATTGTGTTTAGTGAAGTCAGAACAATGGTTCAATTTCTGTCCGAATTCTTTTTCTTTTTATTCTTTCTTTAGATCGATTCCTATAATGTTGAGGAAGTTTGACAACAGGTTAAAGGCCTTGCCACATCCTCTAGTTTGCAAAGGTTTCAGTCCACTATAATTTTTTCCCCTCACCCGAGGACATTTTCCACTTTTTGATCAGATAGAGCGAGAGGAAGGGAGAGGGGGAGAGAGAGAAACATCGACGTGAAAGGGACACATCAAGAGGCTGGCACCCACATGACCAACCAGGGCCGGGGACAAATTGCAACAGAGGTATGTGCCCCTAGTGGGAACTGATCCGAGGCCTCACTGGACCACAGGCTAATGCTCTAACCACTGAGGGAACCAGACAGGGCTAATTATTTTTCTGTTAAGACACCACTGCTGATAAAAGGTTTTAGGACACACACTACATTCACAGGGCTTCTCTCCAGTATGAATAGTCTCCTGTACCATAAGACACCAATGGTAACTGAAGGTTTTGCCGGACTCTTCACATTTCATAAGACTCCTCTTGACAATAAAGTATCTGATGTTAAATAAAATCCCATTGCCGAGAAAATAACTGTAAAGGTATCTCTTCAGTAACTCTCTGATGTACAGTAACTTTTAAACACTGGATAAAGGATTTGTCACATTTCCCACACGGTAAAGCTTTCCTCCACCACCATGAATTCTCTAATGCTCAGAAGTTTTGAGAAGAGGATAACGGTTCTACCACCTTCTTTGTATTTGTAAGGTCTCTACAGTATGATCCCACTCAGGTACATTAAGACAAGAGTGTCTTTTGAAGCCTTTCCCACACTTTTCAGAAACATAGGGCTTCTTCCTAGTATTAATGTTGAGTCAGTTCTCCATGCTGGTAAAGGATTCCTACTCTCCTTACATCTGTAGGATTTCTCTCAAGTATTAACTCTCTGATGTACAGTAAGGTGGAAACACTAGAGAAAGGCTTTGTCATATTTTCTACTAGTATCAAGTTTCTTTCCAAAGTGAGATTTTTAATACTAAGTAAGGTCTGAGAACTAGCTACAGAAATTACAACATGCAATGCATTTCTAATGTCTCTCCCTTCTATGTATTCTCTGATGGTCAGTAAGGGTTGAAGTCCTCCTGAAGGTTTTCCCACATTCTCCACATTTATAAGGCTTCTCTCCAGTATGAACACTCTGATGTCGAATAAGGTGTGAGGACTGACTAAAGGCTTTGCCACATTCTATACATTTATAAGGTTTCTCGCCAGTATGAATTTTCTGATGCTCTCTACGTTTATGGGACCGCCTGAAGGCTTTGCCACATTCTCTGCATTTATAAGGCTTCTCTCCAGTGTGAATTCTCTGATGATCAGTAAGATGTGAGGACTGGTTGAAGGTTCTCCCACATTGTCTACATTTGTAAGGTCTCTCCCCAGTGTGAATTCTCTGATGCACAGGAAGTCTTTCTGACCGGCTGAAGGCTTTGCCACATTCTCTACATTTATACGGCTTTTCTCCAGTATGAATTCTCAGATGTGTACTAAGGTAGGCATACTGGCTAAAGGCTATGCCACATTCTCTACATTTGTAAGGCTTCTCTCCAGTATGAATTCTCTGATGCTTAGTAAGGATTGAGGGCTGGTTAAAGGCTTTGCCACATTCTATACATTTATAAGGCCTCTCTCCTGTATGAACTCTGTGATGTGCAGTAAGGCCTGAGGATTGGCCAAAGGCTTTGCCACATTCTATGCATTTGTAAGGTCTCTCTTGAGTATGTGTTCTCCGATGGCCAGTAAGGGTTGAGGAGTTCCTGAAGGTTTTGCCGCAATGACTACAATTATAAGGCTTCTCGCCAGAATGAACTCTTTGATGATAAGTAAGGCTTGAGGCCATACTAAAAGCTTTTCCACATTCTCTACATTTATAAGGCTTCTCTCCAGTATGAACTCTCTGATGTCGGGTAAGGCTTGAGGAGTGGGCAAACGTTTTGCCACATTCTCTACATTTATAAGGCTTCTCTCCAGTATGAACACTCTGATGTCGAATAAGGTTTGAGGACTGCCTAAATGCTTTGCCACATTCTATGCATTTGTAAGATCTCTCTCCTGTATGTATTCTCTGATGGACAGTAAGGTATGAGGACTGGCTGAAGGCTTTGCCACATTGTCTACATTTATAAGGTTTCTCTCCAGTGTCAATTCTCTGATGAACAGCAAGATGTGAAGACTGGATGAAGGCTCTCCCACATTGTCTACATTTGTAAGGTCTCTCCCCAGTGTGAATTGTCTGATGGACAGGAAGTCTTTGTGACCGGTTGAAGGCTTTGCCACATTCTCTACATTTATATTGCTTTTCTCCAGTATGAACTCTCAGATGTTTACTAAGGTAGGAATACTGGTTGAAGGCTATGCCACATTGTCTACATTTATAAGACTTCTTTCCACGATGAATTCTCTGATGTTTAGTAAGGCCTGAGGAATGTCTAAATGCTTTGCCACATTGTCTGCATTCATAAATGTCCTTTCCAGAGTGAAGCCTTTGATGGTGAATACGGGCTCCGTAGTGGCTGAAGGCTTTGCCACATTCTCTACATTTATAAAGCTTCGCTCCAATATGAAATCTATGATGTACAGTAAGGCTAGAGGCCTTACTGAAGCCTTTGCCACATTCTCTACAATTCGATGGTTCTTCTCCAGGATGAACTCTCTGATGTGGAGTAAATTCTGGATGGCAGTTAAAGGCTTTGCCACATTCTGAACAATTATAAGACTTCTCTCCTGCAGAAATTCTTTGATGTTGAGTATGCTTTGAGTACTGACTAAATCCTTTTCCACATTCCCTACATTTGTACAGTTTTCCCCAAGTATGAATTCTCTGCTCATGTACAGTAAGACATGAATGAAATCTAAAGGCTTTGCCACAGGTTTTACATTTATAAGGCTTCTCTCCAGTAAGAATTCTCTGATTGAGAGTAAAAACTGAAGGACTATTAGATGTTTTACCACCATCTTTACATTGATGAGGTTTTTCTCCAATATGGACTCTTTTAAGTCTACTTACACTGAATGGTTGACTGGAGACTCTACCACATGGATTCCATTTGTAATCCTCCTCACCAGTATGAATATTCTCTTGTTCAGTGTGAATTGACGACTGCTTTGAAGATCTGACACATTTACTTGGCTTGTTTGTCCTCTCCACAATATGAGTAACCTGATGTATACTGTGACTTGACATTTGGTCAAAGACTTTCCCACCTTTATAATCGTTCTCTGGAAGCTGCCTTCTCTGAGGAGTATTAGAGTTTGACTCCTGGTTAAAGTTCTTCTTCCAATGTTCATTCCATTGATGACCTCTGTCGCCATTATATGTTTTCTGGTAATCATTAAAGATAGAAAGGCCTTTAGTCACAGCTGTAATTTCATTAAACATGTACTGTTCCATAAGATCTATTTTGTGATACTTATTAAACCATGATGTTTTTATTAAAATATGCTACCAAGGTTTTGAAAATTGTAGATAAATTTTCAAACACATTAATTCTCAGAGGAAGAGTGATTCCTTTAAATCATTGCCAGATTGATCACATTAAAATTTTTATAGATATATTATAAATCTCTGGATTTTCGAAATAAATAACTGAAATTTTAATCCCACCACCATTTTAAACAATTCGAATGATTATTCACACCACAGATTATGTGAGTTCCAATATTTATAGATTTACTTTGCAAGAATATATGAGTAAAAAATGGTTTTCAATCTTCACATATAGCAACACAATAATCTGAAAATGTAACTGACTTTCTTTCTTTCTTTCTTTTTTTATCCTCACCCGAGGACATTTTTCCAAATTTTGTTCAGGTAGAGTGGGAGGGACAGAGGGAAAGAGAGAGAGAAACATCGATATGAAAGGGACACATCGAGTGGCTGCCACCCGCACGACCAACCAGGGGACAAACTGCAACCGAGGTACATGCCATTAGCGAGAACTGATCCTGGGTCTCTCTGGACTACAGGCCGACTCTCTAACCGCTGAGCCAAACCGGCCAGGGCTGAAAATGTAACTGCCTTTAAAGTGAGAGTCTCCCCAAATCCTCGACCTCTTTAAGTAACAAAAATTTTATTATGAATGAATCCCATTTAGTTCTGTTTATATTAACATCTTTCTTCACGTCACACTCATCCTCAAATGCAAACCATTTCGTTAAGTGTTCAGTATGAAAGCCACACCGTCCATATCTTACCAGTCTTATTTCTGAGAATAAGTCTCGCAGTTCGGGTTTTCGCAAAAAGGACTGGTTGTATCCAGATGACATGGCTGAAAGAATATAAATTTTCACAAGTTTGACACAGCTAAATGTACGTTGAACTTACCAGCAATTACTTGACCAAATGACAATTTTTTTCTACTCCAAAAGCAAGTGAATATTTCCAAGAAAGGTGAAGACAGGTATAACGAGAAAAAGTCAGAGCTACGAGGGACAAAAAGATGCTTACATTTGCCAATGATACCTGCTCAAACCCCTTCACCCACACAATGGAAATACTTGCATTTCCTCATACTACTAATTCCCAGTTTCTTCGTGGAAAACTAGAGGTGAGGGTACTATATGTTCAGTGATCTCGCTGTTTGGAAATGTCTCTAGAGCTCTGTTTCTATTGTGTACGACAGAGTGGTAAAGGAATGGCAGTACAGTGAATGCACTGTAGTGGCTACTACAAAGAAACAAAGAGAAACGGTTCAAACTCTACAAAGACTGCTGTACTTCAGACATATATTAAGCATGAAGAGATACCATGGCTCATCCTGGCTGGTTTTACACAGTGGTTAGAGTGTGGTCCAAAGACCAGAGAGCCCTGGAATAACTTCCCACTAGGGGCATGTACTACAGTTGTTGTTTTTCCCCTGTCCCCGTTGGAGTCACGTGGTGGCAAACAGTTGATGTGTCTCTCTCACATCGATGATTCTCTCTCACTCTTCCCCTCCTTCTCTATCTGAAGATAAATGCAATGTCCTCGGGTGAGAATTAAAAAAAAAAAAAACAAAGAGAAAAATTCCCAAACCTGGTGAAAGACATAAACATACTATTCCAGGCAACACAAGGAGTCCCAAAACAAAAGAAGCAAAAGAGACACACCTCAAGACACATAATAATTAAAATATCAAAGATAAGCGATCTGGTGTGGCTCAATGGATTAAGCATCATCACATAGACTAAGAGGTCCTAGTTCAATTCCCAGTGAGGACACATGCCCTGGTTTTGGGCTAAATTCCCTGCAGAGGGTGCGCAGGAGGCAGCTAAGCGATGTTTCTATCTCACATCAATGTTTCTAACTCTCTCTTCTTTCTCTAAGAAAAAAATCAATAAAAACATATATATATATATATATATATATATATATATGTTTTTTTGGTGAAGAACTTTTTTTAGTTTATTTAGGCCACACTGTCAACAATTGATGGAAAGCAAAATCTCAAAGATTGAGATAATGTTTTGCCACTCGTTCTGTACATTACCAGAAAAAGAGGAAACCTCAGTGGGTTACATGAAATCCATTGGTGATAGATTAGGCAGGCGAAAGAGAGAAAGCAAAGCGCTAAAAAACATTACAAAAAAACCTAAACCAGCACTAGAAAAGCAGTTATCGACAAGGACGTTCCCCTAAGACTATCAGCTGACTTCACAACTGAAACTCCAGGACAAAATATTTAAAGTAGTGAAAAACAAGTAAGTATACCCAAGATTACACTACCCAAAACAGCTAATATTTAAAATCAAACGATAGCCCAGATGGTGTGGCTCAGTGAATGAGGCTCAACCTATGCAACAAGTAGTCACTGAGTGATTCCATTCCAGGTCAGAACATTACGAGTTTAGGGACTCAACCTCCTGAAGGGGGCGTGTAGGAGGCAGCCAATCTATGTTGATGCTTCTCTCTCAAATTGATGTTTCTATCTCTCTCACTCTCCTTCTCCCGTCCTCGCTCTCTCAGAAATTAATAAAAATTAAAAATAATACTAAAAAGCCCTGGCCGGTTTCACTCACCGGTTAGACCGTCATCCTGAGGTCCAGAGAGACCTGGGTTCGGTTCCCAATAAGGGCATGTACCTCGGTTTGAGTCTGTCCCTGGCCCTGGTTGGTCGTGCAGGTGGCAGCCACTCGATGTGTCCTGTTCACGTCCATGTTTCTCTCTCTCTCTCTTCCTCTCCCCTCCGTCCCACTCTGTCTAAACAAAAAATGGAAGAGTGTCCTCGAGGGAGGATAAATAAATAAGTAAATAAATAATTCTAAAAAGATAAGGATAAAATAAAAAAACAGGTAGTTTCCCATACAAACAAAGAGCTAAAGAAGTTCATAATCACCAAATCAGGACAAGAAACGTTAAAGCTTAGACTACTTTAAAAAAAAAAAAAGCCTTGGCTAGTGTTGCTCACCTGGTTGAGCATCATCCTATCAGAAGGATGCCAGTTTGATTCTTTCTCAAGGTCATATTCACCAGTGGCAACCTAAAGAAGGTACCATGATGTTGTGCTCTCATATCACTGTTTCTCTCTTTGTCCCTTCCACTTGCACTACAAATTAATAAAAATATTTTTTAAAGGCCCAGCTGGTTTCACGCTCAATGGTTCAGCATTGACCCATAAACCAAGAGGGAACCAGTTTAATTCCCGTCATGGCACATGCCCAGGTTTTGAGTTCGATCTGATTAATGTTCATATTTATCCCTCCTGGATGTTTATATTTCCCGCTCCCTCAAAAATCAGCAAAAATTTTTTTCTTTTGTCCTCACCCAAGGGCATTTTTAAATTTATCTTCAGATACAGTGGGAGGGAGAAAGGGAGGAAGAGAGAGAGAAACATCAACGTGAGAGAGACGCATCAAGTGGTTGCCACCCCCACGACCCCAACTGGGGCCAGGGAAAAACTGCAACCGAGGTACGTGCCCTTAGTGGGAACCACACCCAGGACTCTATGGTAAATGCATTAATTGCTGAGTTAAACTGGACAGGGCAATAAAAAATATTTTTGAAAAAGAAATAACAATTTTGAATAATAAATGGCTATAAAAAAAACCTGAAATCTCCCCAGCCCGTATGGCTCAGTGGATTCATTGTCAACCCAAGAACTGAGAGGTCCCATTCAATTCCTGATTAGGGCAGGGGCCCGGTGGTTTCAGGTTCGATTCCTACTTGGGTGGTGAGCAGGAGGTAGCTGATCAATGTTTCTCGCTCACATCAATATTTCTATCTCTCACTCCCTTCCTCTCTCTCTAAAATTATCAAAAACATATTATAATAATCAAAATCGTATAATTTGTTTACAGTACAGATCTACCTAGAGTGCATTATGCTACCTAGAGTGAAATAAGTCCATCAAAAAAAGGACATACAATGCCCTGGCTGATTTGGCTCAGTGATTAGAGCATCAGCCTGGAGTTCAGAGAGACCAGGGTTCAGTTCTCAATAAGGGCACGTATCTCGGTTGCAGTTTGTCCCCGGCCCTGGTTGGGTTGTGTGGGAGGGGGCCACTCAACGTGTACCTTTAATGTCAATGTTTCTCTTTCTTTCTCTCTTTCTCCCTCCCTCCCACCCACTCTAACAAAAAATGGGAAAATGTCCTCAGGTGAGGATAAAAAAACAATAAACAAACTCATAGATACACAGAAGAGTCTTATAGTTGTAAGACCTGATGCCTGTTGAAGGACTTCGTGACAACAGGGAAGGAACTGAGGAGTATAGGTGGTAGTCAGAGACATTCACTGGGATGTGAAGTACAGCAAAGGAAATATAGTAAATGATGTAGTAACGACTATGTACAGTGCTGGCTGGGTACTGGAAATACTGGGGAAACACTGTGTAAAGTAGACGACTGTCCAACTACTCTTCTGTACACCTGAGACTAACACAGAATAGTATAGAATGAAAAAAGGACATCTCAGACCTAGATTAGAATAGGTCTTCCCCAAATCCTGAATATTATATACAGGTCCTATGGGAAAAGAAACTTTCCGTATCACCATGAATTCTAACTGCGAGTGTGCTTCTATGAACAGCAAACATTTTGCATGACGACATACATAATATGGTAGGAAAATGTCACAGGAAGTGAATTCAAATCATTTGAAAATACCTATGAAAAGGGATTTTCACAAAGAAGCAGTTGGCAGCCCTGGCCAGGTAGCTCAGTTGGTTACAGCGTCAACCACAAAGGGCAAGGTTGCGGTTCGGTCCTTGGTCAGGGCACACAAAAAATTCAAAGAACAAATGGATAAATAAGTGAAACACAAAAATCAATGTTTCTCTCTCTGTTCCCGCACGTCTCCTATAAAAAACAAACAAACAATAAACAAAGCATTTAAATATGTGAGATATATTTTCATTAATCTTCTCTGTGGTTATTATACAAAATGTGTAGGGTGTAATTCACCCTAACTAAAACAAGACAGACACCAAAAAAAATGCATCTAATTTATTTTAAAAAAAACAAACAAATCATAAAAAAGTTATAAAATTTACAGAGAATAAATGCTCTTTAAAATGAACATTTCAGGCCTAGCTGGGTAGCTTAGTTGGTTTGAGCATTGTCCCAATATACCAAAGTTGTGGGTTCCTCCCCATTCAAGACCCATACAAGAATCAACCATTCCTGGTCTGTTTGGCTCAATGGTTAGAACTTAGGCTTGCAGTCCAGAAAGACCCGGGTTCGGTTCCCGTTAAGGGGCATTTACCTTGGTTGCAGTTTGTTCCCGGCCCAGGTTGGGTGATACGGGAGGCAGCCAACTCGATGTGTTCATTCACATCGATGTCTCTCTCTCTTCCTCTCTCTCCGTCCCACTCTATCTGAAAAACATCCTCGAGTGAGGATTAAAAAAAAGAAAACACTTTTCTAAAACACTGTTTCCAGACAGCACATTAATTATTCTACACAACATGTAAAGTTTTCAGACAATGAGTTCCTAATTAACACACACCACAAAGCTTTTCTTTTCAACAAAGAAAACCTCAAATTTGTTCTTGGAGACCAAGACTCTTAACAGGCTAACATAGAAAGCAGAAGCCTTTTGTTTAAGTAATAAAGGAAGCAAAACCCTGCGGCTGGAAGAGGAGCTCTGGAAGGAAGTCATCCTCACCCAGAGAGACCAGGTTCCTGTAGTTCTCCAACATCACATCCAGGTACAATGTCCGCTGAGCTGGGTCCAGGCATTCCCACTCCTCCTGAGAGAAGTCTACGGCCACATCCCTGAAGGTCAGCGGGCCCTGAAAAGAAAGACACATTCACCAAGAGACAGCAAGCAGAGTTCATAATGTCACCCAACATGGAAACAGTGTTAGGAGAACTGGTTTTGACCTAGGAGTATCCGAAATTATCTAGTAAGATCATTTGTAAACAGTAATAGTGTCTACTATATTTTGTAACATTGAGAAACGGAGATGATACATATCCACAAATCCATTGCAGACACGTTACTTTTCAGGAAAATAAAATTTAAAATTAAGGCACCAATACAGGCGTATGGATTTTGAGCACTGTATTTCTATCTGTGAGGGTCAGTTGTGTATACTTCTCAGTTATAAATGTCACAGTGAGTTGGAAGTGTAAGTATTTCTTCAAGTATAATACAGAGAATACCCAACTGCACTTTTCTAATTTTTTCTTTAATCCTCACCCCGAGTTATGTTTTCCATAGATTTTTAGAAACAGTAGAAGGGAGGGACAGAGAGAGAGGGAAAGAGGAAGGGGAGATAGGGGGAGAGAATCATCAATGTGATAGAGACACATCGGTTGGTTACCTCATGCACATGCCTGACTGGGGTTGGAGATCGAATCTGTAACCATGGTACTTGCCCTTGAACGGGAATCGATCCTCCCCATCTCCAGTGCATCCGCTGACCCTCTAACCACTGAACCACGCTGGCCAGGGCTGCACACTAATAGTACATTCACACAATTAGTGTGAATTCTGTACCGACCGAGTGAGCAAGTCTCTTCTCTTCACTATTCTTTTCAGAACTTTCTGAATTATTCTAGCGGTAAAATGTGCATTTTCTTAACCCTGATGCTGCAGCCACGTTACCTAAAATCTACGCCTCCCTTCTTCACTGACATGCGAGCCTCTGACCTCATCCCAATAGGGATGTCAGACATGGGAGCCTTCCCTGCTTGGTCTGTCCGGAAAGGGATGTTTTCAAGAGTGGCAAATAATGAATTAAAGGAAGGAATGCTTCCTGACCTGGGGGACCCTGCAGAAAGTGAATGCAGAACAGGCTCTGGGACAAAGGAGAGAAGTATACAACCTGCTAACCTTGACCATCGTAAGGAAAAAAAAGAATGAAGTAAACCAAGGAAAACAACCTCACTAGGCAAGAATATTAGAAGTAGAAAAATTAGACTTCCGGTCAAGATGGCGGCACAGGTGAACGCGGTATCGCGTCCTCCCATAACCACAGAACAAACATCATTCAAAACTGCCTCAAATTCAGCTAAATGGAAGTCCTACAACTACGGAATTAAAGAAGCAGCCACATGGAGACTGATAGGACAGGCTAATCCCACACCCACGTGTGGTGGATAAAAATCAGGAGGACACCTCCGATGGGAGGTCATCCCTGAAAACTGAGGGGTCCCCGTCCCACACCAGGTGCCTCACTCAGGGTTCCAGTGCCAGGAAGAAAAGTCCACATAACTTCTGGATGGAAAAAACAGTGGGAACTGAGGCTGAGGAAGGCTGAGGCAGCTGGAGCCCTAGGCAGCTCCTTAAAGGGCCCTCCAACGAACTTATTGGACTCACTCCCCCTAAGCTTGGAGAGGAGGCAGCTCAAGGGGCACCAGACACATACAGGGAAGAACTGAGCTGTTCGGCACTGTAGCAAGGGCTGGAGAGGGGGCTTTCTCCAGGACAAACATGCTGTCAGAGGCCTTTGTTCCTTTGGTGACCCTTCCCTGAGGCGGCACACAGCCACCATATCTGGGACCCTAGCAACCTGGCTCATACTGGTTGCCCCGCCCTGGTGATTTCCTGAGGCGCCACCCCACCCAAACTTCAGGCCCACCCAAGCTGTTGCCAGTTGGTTAACCATAGGATAGGCCCGTCTTGGATCCTGCTTCTGGTTTTCCTAAATTCTTTCAAGCAGCATCTGGTCTCAGCGAGCCCCATACCTCTCGTTAAGTAATACATAGAAACAAACACAGGGAGATAGCGAAAATGAGGAGACAAAGAAACAGGTCCCAAATGAAACAGAAAATATCTCCAGGAAAAGAACTAAGCGAAATGGCAATAAGCAACCTAACAGATGCTGAGTTCAAAATACTCCTTAAAAGGATACTCAATGAACTTAGTGAGGGCCTCAAGAGCATAAAAAAGGACCAGACAGTAAAGAAGGTTGCACAGTCAGAAATGAGGGAGGCACTAACTGAAATAAAGAGTAATTTACAGAGATTCAATAGTACAGTAGATAAAGCCAAAAAGCAAACCATCGATTTGGAATATGAGGAAGCAAAAAACACCCAATCAGAACAACAAAAAGAAAATAGAATCCAAAAAAATGAAGATAGTATAAGGAGCCTCTGGGACAACGTCAAGTGTGCCAACATTCGCATCTTGGGGGTGCCAGAAAGAGAAGAACAAGAACAAGAAATTAAAAACCTATTTGAAACAATAATGGCAGAAAACCTTCCTAACTTGGTGAAGGAAACAGACATACAAATCCAGGAAGCAGAGAGAGTCCCAAACAAGATGAACACCAAGAATCCCACACCGCCCTGGTCGGTTCGGTTCAGCGGTTAGAGCGTCGTCCTGCGGTCCTGAGAGACCCGGATTCGGTTCCCGCTAAGGGCGCCCTGAGAGGCCCGGATTCGGTTCCCGCTAAGGGCGCATACCTTGGTTGCAGTTTGTCCCCGGCCCAGGTCGGTGGTGCGGGTGGCAGCCACTCGATGTGTTCCTTTCACATTGATGTTTCTCTTTCTCTCTGTTCCTCTCTCTCCCTCCCACTCTACCTGAACAAAAAATGGAAAAATGTCCTCGGGTGTGGATTAAAAAAAAAAAAAAAGAGTCCCACACCAAGACACATCATCAAAATGTCAAAGGTTCAAGAAAAAGAGAGAATCTTAAAAGCAGCAAAAGAAAAGCAGTTCATTACCTACAAGGGAGTTCCCATAGCACTGTCAGCTGGTTTCTCAAAATAAACTTTGCAAGCCAGAAGGGAGTGGCAAGAAATATTAAAAGTTATGAAAAGCAAGAACCTACCACCAAGATTACTGCATTCTGCAAAGCTGTCATTTAGAATCAATGGCCATATAAAGAGTTTCCCAGACAAGAAAAAGTTAAAGGAGTTCATCACCACCAAACCGTTGTTATATGAAATGTTGAAGGGTCTTTTTGAAGAAAAAGATAAAATATGTGAACAAACAAAATGGCAATGAATACATATCTATCGACAATGGAATCTACAAACAAAATGAAGAGGAAGAACAGAAACAATCTCGTAGACACAGAGAACATTGTGCTGGTTGCCAGATGGAAGGGGTTTGGGGCAATGGGTGCCAAAGGTGAAGGGATTAAAAAGAACAAACTGGTTGCTACACTGACAAACTTCAAGGGAAAGGGGGTTGGGTAGAAATAAACCAAAGAACTTACATGCATAAGCAATGCACACAGACAACAGTGTGGGAAAAAGCGGGAGGGGGGTGCGAATGGGGAGGAGGGAGTCAATGGGGGGAAATGAGGAACATCTGTAATACATCCAACAATAACGATTAAAAAAAAAAAGTAGAGAAATTAAGGTTACACGTTTTAATTCCACCCATGTGAGAGGAACAGCAGACACAGCCTCTGACCCACGACACATCTTTTACCTGAGAAGCAGCCATTTTGTCCTGGTCCTGGTCCCGCTCAGGGTTGTTTTCTGAGGTGACGTTATACTGGAGTCACAGAATGTGCCTTCAAATGTTTCCGCTCAGGCCCTTAATCAGCACACACAACACTCACAATCAAAAGGACCAGGAACTGCTGAAAAGGCCTCTCTGATGTCCTTTGTCACCGAAAAGTCAGGAAAAATACAAGCTCCTACATGGAGAACAAACAATGAGAGTTTCTTTTTCTGTCTTCACATGTCCCTCCCTACAGAGACCTCCACAAACTCCTACAGCATTGAGAAGGAAAACTGACCTCCTGAACCCCCAAACTCAACACAACACCGGTACCCTCCCTGAACAAAGCTGGCGGTGGGACCCACAATATACCATCTTCAAGGCGTTCCCTCCTGGTGCCTGCATGGTTCAGTAGCTGTTTCAGTACCACTGAGTGACAAACACCAGAAGTGCCACACCTGACACGCCTGGGTGGCGTGAGGCGTTGGAAGTATCAGAGTATAGAAGAGGAGGCTTGCGGGGCACATTTCCTTCCTCAATTTCCAGGAAATAAAAGAACAGATCTTCATGCTAAAATTTTTGTATAAAGTTAGCTATTGAAATATGCTGATCAAATGACTTCACCAAGTCCATTTATTCCAGCTGATCCTTCGATGTTTTCAGAAAATGAACAAGAGGGACTTGAGGGGAACACCTCCTCTCTGGCTCACAGTCACTAATTCAACAAATGACATAAAGGGAAGGAAAAAGCTGCTGAACATTAGACCAACTCACACACGTAGGTTCTGACTGCTAAGATAACTGACATCTTTACGAAAGGCACAGGGACATGTCCTCATGTTATCCACTAGTTGCCAATGGGTGTTTTAACATATGATAAGCAGTAGAAAGGATACAAAGCTCAGAATCAAAACTGGACACAACATATTTAAAATGCACAATTTGGATTGATTTTTTGTTACTATTCCTCAACTGAGGATATTTTTCCATCAATTTTTTATTATTATTATATAATTATTGATTTTAGAGAAAGAGGAAGGGAGAGGGAGAGATATAAAAATGTCAATTAGAGAGAACATCAATTGGCCACTTCCTGCATGTTCGACACTGGGCATTTGGCCCACAACCTGGGCATGTGCTCTGAAGAGGAATCAAACCAGCGACCTCTTGGTGTATGGGTCGGTGCTGAACCACTGAACCACACACGCCTGGCTCTATCAATTTTCAGATAAATTAGAAGGGAGGGAAGGAGAGAGAGAGAAACAAGGAAGTGAGAGAAATACATGTCTTGGTTGCCCACAGCAGGACCCCAACCAAGGCTGTCGATCGAACCAATGGTGGTTGTTTTATGTAATTACTTTTAGGTTTCAGGTTGAGTTAAGGCTGAGACAAACATATTTTAAAAAGACAGTAAGAGTTGGTTATGGGATATAACAAATGCTTAATTCAAAATTTCGTGACTATTTTATTTTTATTTTTTATTTATTTATTTTTTAATCCTCACCCGAGGACATTTTTCCATTTTTTGTTCAGATAGAGCGGGAGGGAGAAAGAGGAAGAGAGAGAGAAAGGAACATCGATGTGAAGGGACACATCGAGTGGCTGCCACCCGCACGACCAACCAGGGCCGGGGACAAACTGCAACCGAGGCACATCCCCTTAGCGGGAACCGAACCCGGGTCTCTCTGTACCGCAGGCCGACGCTCTAAACGCTGAGCCAAACCGCCCAGGGCTTAGTGACTCTTTTAAAAGACCGAATATTTAATAAACTAATATATCAGCATGTTTTTTAAAAATGGTTTAAATAGCATTGGCCGGTAAGAGCATCAGCTCGCGGTCTGGAGTGACATTAGGTGCAGGTACCTCATTTTGGTTTTTCCCCCACCCCGGTTTGGGGTGTGTGAGTGGCAACCCCTCCATGTGTTTCTCTCACCCCGATGTTTCTCTCTCTGTCTCTTCCTCCCTCTTTCCCTCTTGCTCTATGAAAGCAAAGTGTCTGCAGGTGAGGATTTAAAAAAAAAAAAAAAGGTTTAAATATCAGAGGTTAAATAAATAGTGAATCCAAAGGGGAGGGAAAAAATGACCTAAGGATTCTGATATTCCTTGAAATAGCATAATGTACTGACAAATTCAGTCATTACTTGCCCCAAGTCACCTCCTTCTTGCCATCCCAGGAAATGAAAAGGACCAGGACCGACAGACAGCTCTCTGCCCACTGTCTGAATAGTGTTTTCATTGGAAGCAAACCATTATGAATTTTACAAGCCTTATAGGCTAAAGATTTGTAATTCTCATCCCAACCTTTTACTCAATAATTCAGATAATGCTGAATTAAATACATAAAGTCTCAAAGCAATATATCCCAATTTCAGCACCCACACACCCCAGCAGCTCAGCAGTCACCCAGATCCAGTCCCGGGCTCCCAGCTCCTGTGTGTTTCTGTCTGCAGATCTGTCTGCTTCCCTGTTCCCCTCTCTGCACTGCTGTCCTTTCCTGTTCCCCTCCCCGTCCCCGGCTCCTTCTCCCCTTTTCTCTATTCCTGTCCCTGCACCTGCCCCGCACACTCTGGAAACCTCCCCGCCGTCAGGGGCTCCCCGCCTCTTTCTGAGACCCCTGCCCGGCCCGTGCCCTGTGCCCGTCCTGCCCGTCCCCACAGCGGGCTGCCTCTCAGCGCTGTGTCTCCCTCGGCCCGTCACCCCTGAACCCCGTTCCGTCCCTGCACTCGCTCCCCAACTCTTCCCCTCAGGACCACGCTCTCCGTCCTGTCGCCCCCACTTGGGCTCCCCAAGCCGCTCCCGACAGCCCTGGGCTCCCCTCGGGGCGCCCTCTCCCCGGAGAGTCTCACGGTCCCCGGCTCCTCCCCGAGGCCTCTCCCACCCCGTCCGCTCTCGGCCTCAGGACCGTCCCCCACGTGCCGTCTGTCCGTCCGGCTGCCGCCCCTCCGCAGCCGCCGCCACAGCGCGCTCCCCGCGGCGGGACCTCTCCGGGGGCCGCGTCTCCCGGCTCAGTCCCCCCAGGGCGCCCGCGCTGTCCGGGCACCGACACCCCTCGTGCGGCGGCAAGCGGATCCCAGGCCGGGAGCCGTGCGGGTCTCGGGGATGAAAGCGGTGAGGCGGGGGAGGGGCGCAGGGGGTCGCTCACCAGGACCGGGAGCCGCGGGGCCCCGGCGGCCAGGGGACGTTTCCAACAGGAGAACCGCGGGCAGGCGGAGCCCAACGGCCGGAGGCTCCGACGCGACTCCGTTTCCACGGAGACGGACTGGAGCCTCCACGGCGCAGCGTCCCTCGTGGACTCGAACCCCCGCCGGCAGAGGCTCGGGAGCGGGTCCAACCAGGACTCCCCGCCGGCAGCGCCCCCGCCGTCCCCGCGCAGGGAGAGGACGGAGGAATCGGACTCACCTCAGAAAGACCCTCGGAGAAAGGACCTGCGCGGTTCTACAGCCGCTTCCGCCTCTGCAGGCAACTGCGCATGCTCATCCGGGCAAGGAATGGGCGGGGCCGAACCTTACCTGAGGGATCCCCGAATGGGGGAGGGGCTGCCACTATGGCCTGGGTCTGGCAGAGAGCGGCACTGGAGGGAAAGGGCAGAAGCCTGGGGTTCCCTCCACCTGACTCTCGTGGGTGTGGCCTTTCCCTGTTCACTGCCTTGAGTTACCCACCTCCTCATCAGTCCAAAATTTGTAACACTGCTTTCCAAAATAGAATTATGGGGACCCTCCAAGGATTCAAGTTCGAAGACGTTTGCCACACATTTTTCCGATAGCCTGGGGACTGGCGCCAGGCAAACTGCTCCACCATTATCTCGCTTACTCAACCTAAACCCCCTCCCCCACCTTCTAGGAACTATCTGCCTTGGGCTTATGGACTCCAATTCCAGAGGCTCCCAAGTGTAGCCCCCGCAAGGTCAAACCCTGACAAATTCCAGCTGCAACGGGCTGATATAAAAATCACAATCCCCAGCATCCAGCGCGGCTTCTAGGACTCGACCCCCGGAGTCTGTGAACCCGCCCGGAGTGTACCCAACCAATAAAGCCTGACCTCTCCGGTCTCTTCTCTATTTCTCGACGGCGCCCCGATTCCTTACAATGTTAACATATTTAAGATTTTGCTGATGTATATAGACTGCTGTTCCCACTGACTGACTTCTTTTGAAATGTTTAACTCCCACTTAAATACATTACCCAGTTTATTATATTTTAGCATCTTCCTGTGAAGGTAAGAACCATTCAAACCTGTCCGATAGCCTGGGAACTGGCGCCAGGCAAACTGCGCGACCATTGTCTCGCTTGCTCAGCCTTGCCTCCCACCCTGTTCCGGGAACGGCCTGCCCCGGGATTGTAGACTAACTCCCATCCTGCTCTTATCGACTCACATTCCAGAGGCTCCCATGCATAGCCCCTGAAAGGGCAAACCCTAACAGACAAATCTCAGCTGCAACAGGCAGATATAAAAAAGCACAAACCCCAGCCTCGGCGCGGCTTCTAGGACTCGACCCCCCAGGGTCTGTGAACCCGCCCGGAGTGTACCCAATAAAGCCTGATCCCTGTTTATTCAGCTGATTGGCTCTACAGTTGCTTCTCTGTTTTTCAGGGGCGCCAATTCCTTACAAAACCTATAGAAAGTTTTTGTGCATCTATTTCAACCTCACTGACAGCAATTGACGGGAAGCAAAATTTTAACACATTGATGTACTCTTCTAGAGAATATCAGTTTGCCCGTTATTTATATATTATAATTTAAAGAGAAGGTGCAAGTGGGTTACATTGCTGATAGATTAGGGCAGTGGAAGAAAGCAAAGAAGGAAACTTCTGGGATTCTATTAGAAATTCTCAAGTTCTGGGCCAAACCCCCAGTGGGGTCATGCAGGAGAGCTAATTGATGTTGTCTCTGTCTGAGAGCCTGGGAACTGGCGCCAGGCAAACTGTTCAGCCATTACGTCACTTACCCAACCTAGACTCCCACCCTGTTTCAGGAACTGTTTGCCCCGAACTCATAGATCAACTCCTGTCCCATTCTCCTGTCCTAGTCCAGGAACTGTTTGCTCTGGGACAATAGACTCATATTCCAGG